ATGATGAAGACAAAAATAATGTGTGGGACTAATGTAATGCTTCTCTTTATGTATGTTTTTGTTATTTGAATGTGAGATTTAATTTATGGAAAATTAAGTACAGAAGTTATAAGTGTATAGCTCAACAAATGTTTCTACATGGATACATACACCTGTGACCATGACCCAAAGCAAAACAGCACATTTGTACTGTCTTTGTGTTGTTTAAGGAGCTCTGGTGGTACAGTGCCGAAAGCACTTGACTGCTAACCAGAAGGTTGGTGGTTCAAACCCACCAGCCACTCCGCGGAAGCAAAACTGGGCAATCTACTTCCGTAAAGATTTACTGCCTCAGAAACCCAATGGGGGCTGCTGTGAGTCGGGATCGACTGGATGGCAGTGGGTTTGGTTTTTTGGTTGTGTTGTTTTGGTAATATTAGCCTTGTAAAATGAATTGGGAAGTGTCACCACCTCTTCTGTTTTCAGAAAGAGATTGTGTATAATTGGTGTTAATTCTTCAAACATTTGATAGATTTCTCCAGTGAGATCATGTGAGCCTGGGGGTTTTTTTGGGGGGATTTTTGGATCACCAATCTAGTTTCCTTAATTGTTAGAGCCTCTTCAAATTATCTCACATTGAGTGAAGTGTGATGGTTTGTCCTTTTTGAAGAATTTGCTCATTCCTTGTGTACTTTGTTGATTGTCTCAGGCTGGATTCTCTAGAGGAACAAAACCAGTGAGTCATATACAAAAATGTATAGAGTGAGATTTATTTTGAGGGATGGCTCAAGCAGTTGTGCAGGCTGGCAAGTATCAAATCCATGGGTCAAGCATCAAGGTAGAGGCTTCTGATTCATGTAGTTGCAAGGCTGAGGAACCCCAAAACAGCAGGTCAGGCGGAAGGCTGCTGGCTCACAAGAACCGGTGGTCAGAGGAGGATGAGTCGGATGCAGCATTAAGAGGGTGGGCTTTGCCAGACCATCTGTCTACATTAAATGCAGGCCACACCCCCAAGGAAACTCCCCTTTCAATATTTGGCTGCTCACGTCGGATCACAAAGTGGAGCATGATTACATAATATCTGCCCAACCACTGTTCATCAGGGCCCAGCCAAGTTGACACATAACATTAACCATAACATTGACCAGCAGTGGGGAGAAGTGTGTTAAGTCTCCAACTGTAATTATGGGTTTGTTTCACTTTTCAGCTCTGTCCATTTTTACTGCACATACTCTGCAGCTCTGTTGTTTAGTGCGCACACACTAAGGTGGATTGGTGGATTGACCCTTTTATCATTATGTGCTATCCCGTTCCCCCCACTCTTCTGTCAGTCTGTCATAATGTGGTGGCTTGAGTGTTGCTGTGATGCTGGAAGCCATGCTACCTCTATTTCAAATACCGGTAGGGTCACCCATGGTGGACAGTTTTCAGCAGAACTCTCAACCCGAGACACGAAGAAGGGCGTGGTGGTGTGCTTCTGAAAATACTGGCCACTGAAAACCTTAAGAACAGCAGTGAAACATTGTCTGATATAGTGCCAGAAGATGAGTCCCTGACGTGGGACCAAAATCCCAAACCAAACCCAATGCCATCTAGTAGATGCTGACTCACAGCAACCCTTATGGTTTCCAAGGCTATAAATCTTTACACAAGTAGATTGCATCATCTTCCTCTCACAGAGAAGCTGGTGGGTCTGAACTACCAATCTTCTTATTAGCAGCCAAATGCCTTAATCACTGTGCCACCAGAGCTCCTTCTCAGGAAGACACTCAAAGTACCACTGAGGAAGAGCTGCCTCCTCAAACTAGTCAACCTTAATGAAGTGGATGGTGTAAAGCTTTTGGGACCTTAATTTGCCAATGTGACACAACTCAAAATGAGAAGAAACAACTGCAAGCATAATAAACGGAATGTGGAGTGTACAAAGTCTGGATCTAGTAAAATTAGAAATCATCAAAAAAGAAATGGAATGCATAAAGATTGATATCTTAGACGTTAGTGAGCTGAAATGGACTGGTATTGGCCATTTTGAATTGGACAATTATATGGTCGAACTATTCTGGGATGACAAATTGAAGAGGGTACTGAAGTACAGTGCTGTCAGTGATAGGACAATATCCGTAAGCCTACTATTACTCAAATTTGTGCCCCAAA